TGGCAGGTTGGTTCCTTCTACTCCAGAAGAGGGAAAACTTGGGCTATAATTCTTCCTTTTCACCGTCCCTGACCTCAGCTCTCCTCTTTCACGGGCAGGAGCAGTAAGACCAGCCTGCTTCCTGATCCCTTCCCACCTCTGACCTTCCTTCTGCTTCTGCCCAGCTGTGGCTTCTTATCCTCGGGTGGCAAAGCTTGGTTTGTGGGGCCAGGACTGAAATGCCTTCTGCCCTTTCTCCTGCATGTTTGCTGATGGGAGGTGCTCAGGGCTGCGGTGGTGTTGGCGAGCTTTTCCATGCCTCTGCATCCCTGTGTGCAAAAAGGGTCAAATCTGTACCCCTCATTTCTCCTAGTGATGTGAATATTAAGGACGTTCTTATTCCAAAATGTGTCATTAAGGAATTAAATCCTATTGGAAGTCCCAGATGTGCTCACAAGTCATTTTTGCGCTTTTGAAAGTAGTGCCATAATGTATTAGTATTTTTAGATCACTTGGATATTTTCAGCTGGAGGAAAATCTTTTATTTTCTTTGTTAATTGTGCTATGAATAGATCTTAAGCTACTGAGGAGAAATGAGTCGATATGTTGAAATGGTGATCCCTTGTGAGTTCAGGTGTACACCTGGCTGCTCTGAATTGCTTACCGAGCTGGGCTGCTGGAGCGGTGACAGCTTCTACCAGCTGCAGATCTGTCCCAAAGTTTCCTGGGCTTTTTACGAAGACGTGGCAAGCTGCCACTGCTCCCAGCTCCTTGGGGCTGTGGATTAATACTGCAGTTTAGACCTGATCTTTCAGTATGAGTCACTACGGGCCCTCGCACTGTTCAAATTATCAGTAAAGAATCTTCAGAGCAGCATCGTTTGTTAGCTGTTTTCACTCCTTGAGATGCAGTAAGCAAAAGCTGTGTGTAATAATCGTAACTGAAGAGTGGAGGGGAACAAATCAGAGGGAAGATGTTGGAGCTACTATTAAAATTTGGAAAATATTTTCAAAGTTGTTGGCTTGACCCTTTTCTGGAGTGAATCAGCATACCTGTGCTGACTGCGGGAGAGCTACAGGAGAGACCTGAATCAGGACATCTGCACACTGGCTTCAAGATTTTCAAGAAGGAATTAGTGATGGTAATGATGGTGGTTTTAAAATTTTGCGTAATTTTTTAAAGGAAGAAAATCGTAAGGAAAAATCACAACATTGCTCAATATATGCACCCTAAAGGGATGCATGTAAAACACAAGGTGGCCGGGTCTCCATTACAGCTCAGTCTTTGACCTCTGTAATGGGATTGCTGACAAGTAACAAGTATTATAGACATAAAATGCTAACCATGAGGTGAACCTGGCTCCATCAATAGGCAGTATAAGCAAAAGAGAAAGAATTATCAGGGGTAGAGGATTTAAATACCTTTGTGTGGGTAAATTATCAACTCATTTCATATAGCTTTTCACTGGCCAAAGAGAGAATATCTCTGGAGACGTTTTATTGAAGGCAGAAACCCAATTAGAATAAGATTGTTACACAACTAATAAAGCGTTTTCAGACAGAATTATTTTTAGTGCTGTAGAAATATTAAAGCATTAGAGCAAAACATGTAAAAGCAGAGAAGAGCACAGTTAGAAACTTTTCATGGCCTTCAGGCACCTCGATCACTCATTTTCAAGGGGTTGTTGTTCTGGCAGTTTACAGCACTAGCCGGCTCTCCCCAGTTCATTTGCCCATGGCACGGTGACACCAATGCCAAATCTTATTTCTTTTCAGAACTAATGCCGTTCTGGATACGCCAGAAACTTCTGCTGTCAGAAACATGGAAGCACGTTCATTCAGTGACATCCTTGGGTTCCTTGCCTCCTTTAGCTGTGTGAAAATTTACAGGGGTCAAAAAACCTCTGACCCCAATGTCTTTATGTTAAACTAAGAACCAAGTATGTTAAGAAGTTCATGTGGTGTGACAGGGAAGTGATGTGTAACTGCTTCTGCATTAAAAAAATCTATTAGTTAGCAAGATGAAGTCATTATGAATTGTTTTCATAGGTGTTTAATAATTGCTTGTATTTGCTGTATAGCTTTACATTCAAGATTATCATCCACCCCTTCTTCTTACACGCTGTAGTTCATTTAGGTGGTCTGAATACTTAGGATCTCCTCCTTTAGATGGAAGCAAATCCTTTCAGTGTGGGAAGTTAGCGGAGAGAGTTCCTGAGAGCACACAGCCCTTCCTCTGACCTCTGTGGAGATCGAAGGTGCTGAGCTCCTCCCGATCCACCAGCCCTCTGCAATGCACAGGTTGGATGCCAGTCTGAAACGTGAACTTCTGCGGTGACAGTGCTGAAACCGTGAAAGAACCTGCATTTGGCCATGGCATTGCTTCTCCCCAGTGCTGTCAACACCAAGACTCAGGTTGTGATAGCAAAGCAGAAAGCTGCTGCTTCAGTGATTATTGCTCAGATGTTGATGCACCCAACCATCTCTTCCTCCTCATCTCCCCTCAGCACCCACTCTGCTGTATCGAATAATTGTGTTTCTTTATAAACAGCAATTTAGGACAATTAGGAGCAATAGCATAGTTAAACCTTTAAAAGGTTATCTCGCAATGTCATTTTCTTGACTAATGTGTTCCTGCTGCCATGTCGTTTGTGAACAGACATGTGTTAGCCAGCTAGTGTGCTTCATCTGTGGTGACTTTGATTTATTTGCTCTGTAAATTGGGACTGAAGCAATAATGGAAAGTGACATTAATTGTTTAACAGAGTCCTCTTTGTCACATCCTGTGCTTTCTCTGGGGTGTTTGAATGTTGAAACTTGTACAAAACTAATTGAAATTGCTGTGATGAGGACCAGTGTCCACTCAGCTTTCTGTTCTTGAATGTCAGCGCACTTGAATGTCTGTTTAAAGCACGAGAGCTGAGCAGCTAACAGCAAATATCAAGGTTTCTTCTGGCATGCTATGATTAAGGAAGGCATTTCCCTGTTACAAATAGTAACACTTCTAGCTTTGTTGTCAGCTTTATAAGCTGCAAGGCTCACCGATGCACCCCACCAGCTAGACTTGCTGGAGCAGTTTCTGGTGCAGGGCTGGCAGTCAGACAGCCAGACCCACCCCCCGCGGCCACCCCAGGGCTGAGGGGTGGCTCTCACCAACATTCATCCCCATTGCCTGTGAAGGGCTTGAAATGCCATTGGAAAAAAAAAAAAAAAAGTCAGCGTTTTGTTGCATTGCAAAGTGCTTTTTTTCCCAATAATGCCTTTTTGTACTTCTCTAGAAGCGATACCATAATTTTCCTCTTTTCCTCTCAAAACGCGGCTGTGAAAAGCTGGATTTGGAGCGTGGCTTTATTCGCAAGGTGGCTCCCCTCTGCTTATTTCTGTCCTCGGCACACTGAATTATCACGGCGCCGTGCATGTGTCTGCTTGGTGTGGTGGAAACAACCACATACCTTCACTTAGACTCTCTTTCTCAGTGGCCAAGCCCCTTTTGGCCTTTTAAGTAAATGCTTCTCCTTAGCATTATCTTTGCCTGAGTGTTTATTTGTTTCTTGGGGATGATGCTGTAAGCACCAGAACAGTTTGTGCTCTGCCGTAGCTTTCTAGCTCGAGGACAGTTTTTCTGTAAGAAGCCGTGAGGTGTGATTTGGCAGAGAAGCCTGGCAGGAGCAATTATCTGTGTGGTTTATAAGCATCTCAGTTCAGAGTCTGGTAGATAAAAGTATTACTGAAAAAAGTCACGCTAAGGGGATACCCAGATTCGCTTTGATTTTTTTCTGAGTTGCAACTGGCAAATGTTTTGTTGTTGCCTTTTTTAGCTTCATATTTTAGTTTGTCTTACTGGTATATTCCTTGCTAGTTCACTTTATAACTGTGAGATTTGAACTTAGCTGAAATCTCTTCACAGTGTGAACTTGGAGTGTGATGAGCCACTCTGAAGCTTGTGGAAAAACTCCCAATTTGATATCCCTAGAATCAGTGAAAGGCTTTTCATTTACTCCAGTAGTACTAGGATCAGTCTAGGAATCCGAGATAATTGATCTGTCAAGATCAATTTCCAATCTTTCTGAAAAATAAATATAATGATTTTTACACAATTCTATTCCTCAGAACTCTCAGTACTCCAAAAAATCTGTACCTTAATATACAGTAGGGACTATATTTCATTAAAAAATCGGAAGGCATTTAAATTTACTCAATTTGACAAAAAGAAGTCTTGTTGCTGAAATAAGATATCTAATATAAATTAACATTACAGCCACATCTGATTAGGAATTAATCTACTTTTTATAATTGCAGTCTGAATTAGATAAATGCATACAATAGTCGCATTGAGCACTCAAATGACATAGCTTGAAAGGACAACTTCAAAGGCAACCTACCTAATACATTTCTTTAAAAGAAACCCAAAGAGCCTGCCATTTACAATATGAGTCTTGATAGCTAGTCTTATGCCAAAATGCTCAGGAATGAGATGTTGTTCATTTGGGGTTGGGGCAAGGATTTCCAGAAGAATGGAAAGGAAACCATTTCTCGCTTACACTGGGCCACGTAAGTGAACAAGGTTTTCCAAATTTCACTGGTGATTCATTTTGGTCTCCTGATTAGCTGTCTTATTCTCTGATTCTTGTAATTTTGTCAGGTCAATTAGCTGGTGTTCAGTGTTGAAAAGAGAAAGAAAGAGACAGCCTGGGCTGACACCATCATTAGGTGTCAGCAGCCTGGGTGCATCCTGTAATACAATCCCTGGGTGATTACTTATCGTCGTTACCACTGGATAAAAAAAAAAAGTATCGTGGAAGAAAAATAAACTAGAGCAGTATGCTATGAGTGCAAAGAGATTTCTCTTGAATGCGGAGACGGATCATTTTATTGCACTTAATTACATCTTCTGAGATTCTGTTGCAGGTTACCATTTCAAGGACTGGTTTAACCATATTTCGACTACTTTTTCACATATGCAGACATTGCTTTGTTCCTTTTCTCATCTGGTTCTACTTTTTGTTTTGTCCCCTCCCACAGAAGATAGATGAAGAGAGTGAGGCAAACTTGCTAGCTGTTCTCACTGAAACACTGGACAGCATCCCTGTGGATGAGGATGGATTGCCTTCATTTGATGCACTGACAGATGGAGATGTGACCAACGAAAATGCCACTAGCCCTTCCCCAATGCCCGACGGCACCCCTCCAACTCAGGAGGCAGAAGAGCCGTCTCTAGTAAGAACCCTTCCTACTGTTTAACAGGAATTGGATGTGCCTCTGGCTACCCGCTGCATGGGTATGATGTAGTCATAGTAAGGTCTGGACTTTTCATTTAGATGGAAAGGAAAATCTAGTAAAGAACTGAAAATTAAGCGGGGAAAAAAAATCACCAAATAGCCATAGGATGACTAATAAGGCAATCTATTAAAAAGTGTGTTGAAGAGATTGTTTTTGAGATTCTTGTGCTAATGGCTGACACTTTTGCTTATCATTCTGTTCAAATAAATCAGGGCAATGGTTTTTAATTCATATTTCATTTCTTGGGGGCTCTTTTTGCATGTATGTTTAGACATCACTTTTGGTGATCTGTAAAGAAAGGCCCATTGAGTCTGGCGGGATGTGGGGCTAATTTTGTGCCTTTAACATTGATTTGACCAGTAAGCACCAGCTTAGTGCTAATCAGGGCAAAACTGAACCTTGGGTGAGGATGTGGGTGAAACCTTATATGCTTTTTGATCAGTAAACCCAGTTTGAGACGTGATTCTATTTCTGCTGAAAGCCCCTTATCACTGGCTTCTGCGGAAGCAGAGCCGGATAACCTGCATCTTGAGACTGTATCCATTAGTCTGTTAAAGTTAACGTCTCTGTTTAGATCAGAGGCCTCTTCTGTCAAACAGATCGCCGAGAATTTCATTTTGCCATGGATTCAGAAATCCAAGAGCCCTGTCATTTCTGCTTGCCCTGCAGTATACTGCAGTAAAAGGAGCAAAAATACACTGCCAAGCCAGAAGAAAATGAAATCTGTTTGCTCTGGGGGATTTCAAGCCCTTCTTTCTGTTTTATTGTACTTTACTTGTTGAAATTGATATAGCTAACTTTAAGTAACTATGCAAAAATGTAGATAAGTAATTTTAATCCATGAAGATGCATAACTTTACTCTTTTCCTTCCACCTCCCTTTCCCTGATGTGTTTGTAGCTTAAGAAGCTCTTGCTGGCTCCAGCCAACACTCAGCTAAATTACAATGAATGCAGTGGTCTCAGCACACAAAACCATGCAAACACTAATCACAGGATCAGAACAAGCCCTGTGGTTGTTAAGGTACAAACTTAATCTTTGTAATAAGGAGAAAAAAAGGAAAGAAAAAACTGTAACAAGGTCTTTTAAGCATTCAGCAGCCAAGCAAGCAGTAGATCTGTATGTATTGTATTAATCTGCCTACTCTCTTGCAACTGTTTAACAAAAAAAAAAAAGTGAACAGATTATATGGGTTCCAGAAAATCACCTGAGCTCCTTTATGCTCTGAATATTTTGTTTACGCTTTTTCTCTTGGCAGAGTTCAGTTGTAGTTCTACCGTCTGTTCCTCTCACCTACTTTATTGATACACAGAGTAGTAGGGGGTACGATAAAATTTGCTGATGGGCTGGTGTGTTTTATGAGTGACTCCAGGATGCGGGACTGCCATTTTACCAGCTGTCTTAGCTAAGAAAAGTGACACTGGATTCTTGGCAAAAGATGTGTATCAGCCATTAATTGGATAGAATGGGGGCTGTGACATCATTCTGTTAGCAGGCAGTATTAAACAATGTTTGTCTTGCCGTTCACTGTAACTGAAAACGGAGCGTTTAGGGGTACTTAAGAGAGTTGTGAATACTGGGCTCAAGCAATCAGCAGCAAATTAAGGTTTAAACCAGCTTATTTTTTGTTCACAGTAAAGGCGCTGTAGGGTCTTGTTAGTTACATGTTGCTGAGTAGGAACATTGAAATGTAGGAGAAATGAAATAAAAAGCTGCATAAATGTCATTTAGGAATTTTAAATGTAATTTTCTTTCCTTGTTCTGCAAACAATTATTCACAGCTCATAGATCTAGTACACTTAGACTGAACACTTCATTGAAAATCTCATCTCTTCAGAAAACCTATATCCATTCCGATAAGGTTCAGCTCACTAATTTTGGCTTTTTTTATTTTATTTTATTTTATTATGCCCTGTTTTTAAGACTGAGAATTCGTGGAGCAATAAAGCAAAGAGCATTTGTCAACAGCAAAAGCCTCAAAGACGTCCCTGCTCTGAACTTCTCAAATATCTGACTACGAATGATGACCCTCCTCAGACCAAACCAGCAGAGAACAGGAACAGCAGCAAAGAGAAATGCACGTCCAAAAGGAAGCCCCATCTGCAGTCTCAGACAAACCATCTGCAAGGTAGGTGTGGGACCGCAGAACACAGCTTTGGTACCAGCAGTAACACTGGGAAGCTGAAATACCGTGGTTCTGAATACCCTCGATACCTTTTCTGTTCTTTGGATTAGTGTATAAATCCAGTATCTCTTCTGTGTAGGGAGCATTTTAAAACAGTATAATAAAGTTAGAATTAGTTAACTAGATTTAGCTTTGAAACAATTTTAATCCTGTCTCTATTGCTCCCAGCCTCAGAAAAATGTCAGGTAAAAAAAGTGTAACAGATACCACACCTTAATATAAGCTGGAGATATTTACTCACAGAGTACTGTACCACTAAGAAATCATTATAACCCTAAACAAGCTGGGCAGGCCAGTTCATTAGTGAGCTGCTTTCTTTCTTGCTAGCGTAAAACTGAAGGCATTGTTAACCTGCCACATAGTCCTTAAGAGACAATAAATAGTGCTCTCACGGCTACAGAGAAAGCAATAAATGTGTCATTCCTGTTAAAGCTGGAATGCCAGTTTGTAATTTTATTTTGTAAATAGTTGAAATTTTAGCTGCTATCCAGATCTTTCTCTTTTTAGATTCTTTATGGCCAAACCTAAATACTTATGTCGACTTTTAGTGTCCCTCAATGCATGAAGAACTGGTCTATATTACAAGTAGCTTCTATGACAAAGATGCAAAAACTTAAAGCCCCCCCTCTTGCTTTCTCTCCCCCTCTTCCCCTGCCTGTTTTCCCCAGGTAAAAGCTTACGAGCCCAAAGGGAGCTTTTTTTAGAAGTTACTGTTACTTTAAAATACATCTATGTATATGTATTGGCCTGGCATCTAGAAGGCCAGATGCCTGTCTCAGTCACATCTGTCCAGATACTGGGTGACTCGACTAAATGAGAGTTGTCTGGCTGCAAGAGAGATCAGGATATGACCCTAAATGTGTTTTCTGATCTTTTTAAAGCAACAGTTGTAAACCGTATATGTTTTTTTTCTTTCCCCTCCTCCCTTCCTGCATTTTCAGCCCCCATCAAATCCAATTTTTCACTCTTCACTAGGAAGTGTAAGCAAACTTAATAAAATAATCTTCCTTTCCTGCCACTAAATACTCTTCTCGCAGCTGTACATTCTGACATCCTAAGTATAATTTTCCCCACTATTATTGGTCTCAAATTCTCTGAACAATGTTTCTAGTAAGAAAGAAATCCAACTGCCCCTAGAGCTTCTTGGATGCCAACTGCCACTCCTTCTGGATGGCTTCAGCAGTCTGCTTTCACAGACTGAGCTGTACGTGTAAAACTTGGGTCTCCTACTGCCATGGTACTGAAACATAGATCCGCCAGAAGTTGCAGGAGGCGTTACTAACACTGTTGGGTGTTAAGGTGATACGTGATAAGGTATATCATGTATAACATGCTATATGCACAGATACACACACACACATAAACAGAGGTTATAAAATCTTCCTATTCAGATCACAGTTGCATTTTTTACCCAGCTGAGGCAATTGTGTAGATTCAGTGCGAAGAAGCAGGGCATGTTGGGTTGTGGAAACAGAATGGAAGGAGAGGTTAGGAAAGTCCAAAGGGACATATAGCTAACTTACCAGTGTTTCACAGATGACTGTGACTTTGGTATTTCAGTATTGCAGGTGAAATTGCAGGCAGAGAGAAGTTACTCTCTTCTTTAATTTCTGCAGTTTAATTTACAGGCTTCTGAAAGGTTGTTTTTTCATCAAATTTGCCTCATACACCAGTATATGACTTCAATATCAATGGATTTGCATATAATACAAATAGAAGAATATAATGCTTTCAGCTTGGACAGTCAATTCATGCAGAATCAGCCTTGCAAATTTAACTGATATTTGCAGACCTGCAGTCATTTGTTCATACATTTAATCAAAAGTACAAGAAAATTGGTTCCTTCTGTTTTAAAAAATAATCAGGGTCTGATATTTTCTTTCAAAGTTAGGGAAAGCTCACAAAGGATAAGTCAAATGGTATTTTCCTTTAGGGTTACTGTTACAAACATATTGCAAACCCACGGGAATGTCCACAAACCCATTCATGCCAAAGATCATCTGTGGTTTTGCATTGAAATTTGCCCATGGGGAAACTTAGTTCTTTTGAACCTGAATGTTTTCAATTTACAGGGACAAGCAACTTCATATGAACCCTTTTTAATAAGAAAAAAACACACCACAGTAGACCTTGAAACTCTGATAAACAGGCACCATGGAAAATGATAGTGTCTTAGCTAAATATTTACACTATCAATAGCTGTATGTGAGGACGAATCCTTTGCAGGAATACTGTTTGGTCAAGCCCTTGCCTAGCAATAAGAAAACTGATGGGTGTTTTGGTATGCGAATTTCTCTGTGGGAGAGCTCAGTGATATCTACCTAAAATGAATACATACGAGTGTGAGATAACGCCTTGGTTCTGTGCCCATCTCTCGCAGAGTTGCACTGTGCCTCAGTGCTTCAGAATTTTATGTATGTGTTCTGATGTGGGACATTCTGTGGGACTACTGAGAGCTAGAATGAGACTTTTTAGAGTCTTAAATAGCTCTTACACTACACGTTCAGCTTCCTTAGAAAGCCTAAATTGGGTAAGAGTATGTAGACTTTTATCCTCTTACAAAAAAAAAAAAAAAAAAGTGGAAGCCTTTGTATAAAACTTTATTCCAGAGCCTTACTGTAAGGTGTGATTTTTTAAAGCCAGTTTTACCTCTAGGTAACCACTGGCAAACATTAGTATCCCTAGATGTATATAAAATGCACACAAAGATGTGTCAGGTTACATTCAGTCTTACTGCACATGGTTTTATGCACAAATCAGCAGCAGTGCTGGATCAGACAAATAACTCGTTGAGGTGCATCTCCTCACTCCGGCAGTGACTTCCGAGGAAGGTGAACCCGAGGTGAACACCTGAGCTTCCATTTCTAACTTTCATATGGGGAGGAGGAGAAACAATATGCAGCTCTTGAGAATTGAATTAATTTAAAAAAAAAAAGTAATATTACTTCAAGAATGCTCTAGAGCTTACAAAAGTAATCAATTTGCATATAAAATCCTTTAATGTTGATGGGAGCTCCAAGCCTGGAATGAATACGAAATACGCAGTAGTGACACTCTGGACAAAAGATCTGCAGTGCAGGAGTGTTCAAGGGGAACATTTTGTCTTAAGTAATTAATTTGCAGAAGAGATCCCCTGCTGTTGTTCTTGGTACAATGCTCTCTGCGTTCAAACATCAATCTAACTTCTGAAAAGTGAAATTTGCAAGTAATATGATTTTTAATTTTTAAACATTTCACTGGCAACTAAAGGAATTTTAGTTGTATTACAATCTCCTAGTTCTTGGCTTGCTTTGGGAAAATACAAGTTTGCATGAATAAAAGCTACAAAGACTTGTATTTTTATAGCTAGAGCTTTGTTTTTTGCGTATGTTGGGATTGTACTGCTGAGAGCTTCAACCCCATTTTTAACCATCTGTGACTATGTCTGTGGCTTGTCATAGTTTGCAGAATAATTTGCAGAAATTTGGACTATAACTGGTTGGACTCTGGCCTCATAGAAACAACCTATTCTCAGTGCTATATATAAAATTGTATGTTGTAGAAGTAAAATTAACTGAATATTCATAACGTTCTGTTACTTCATAGTTATTCTGCTGCTCCTGTTTCCAAATAAAACGTGAACTGTAGTCTAAATTAACTCTCAGAGAAATAACATTTTCACAGTGTATCCTATAGAGTTCTTCATTGATTTTTAGCATGTACCACTCTTCTTCTGAAAGGTTCTTGGCATTTGGGTTGTGTACTGTATTTCAGAGGTACAGTAATTGATGTAAATCATTGTTGAAATTTAGGTGCCCTTTTGGTACCAGTAATAAGGAATCAGGATGAGTCTCCTTATTTATCTAAGATACACTGAAATGGCTATTGAACTATCAGAGCTCAGCCCTAACTGACCAACATGGGATTCCAGCACCCAAATAAAAAGAAATCTCTTCAGTATACATTATGGAGTGTTTAGATATTCCATAATTGTTTTCTTTTTCCCTTTAGCCAAACCAACAAGTTTATCACTTCCATTGACGCCCGAGTCACCAAAGTAAGTACTAAAAAGTGCAAACATTTGTAAAAGGGAGGGGGGTTCAGTAGGTTTTGGCTACAGCAACTCCATTTCAGCTTGTTTTTATAAATGTGCCCTGTCTTCCAGTGATCCCAAGGGTTCCCCATTTGAGAACAAGACTATTGAACAAACCTTAAGTGTGGAACTCTCTGGAACTGCAGGTGAGAAATGGGGCGTGCTGGCTCTTCCTTTAAGCATGGCTTGTGTGTGTGCTTGTTCATTTAATATACCGCATGTACACTAAGATCTCACAGAGGTCTCCAGTAGATTAACTTCAATGCAGTCTAGCATTGACTTTTTATCCAGTTACCTGAGAAGGAGCGTGTTTGAAAATATGGCTCCAAACCTACACAAGAGAGCATAATTTCTGGGAAAATATGAATGAAACCATTTATCTGTTATGCTTCCCCATTTCCCCATAGATTTGTGTACTGCTGAGCACCATCTTTCAAAGACAAACCCCACAGCACAGTGTAATAGATGTTACAGATGGAAAAGTTATGTCATCAAGTCTGTCTGCAGGCTGGTCTAGGGCTGTACATGATTGCGTGTTTCAGTGCTTTGTCAATTCTAGATTAATATGTCACAAAAAACGGCTTTCTCCTCTACCACTGAAAAACTATTCTGTAGCTTAGAGGTAATTTTTTTAATTGGTATTCATTTTATATTCTTGCTTTCTCTCTATTTTTTCCGTTAGCACACTCCACACAACCTCCTTTTATCCTCCTCCTCCTTTCTGATCCCTAGTGTTTGTACCTTTTGAAGATCTGTGGATTTTTTTTGTCATGTGCTGGTTTAGTTCATGCATCGCCCATTGCGCTTATTTAATTCGTCTGGTCTTCTTTTCGCTAAAGTCAATTCCTTCAGACCTCAGATCTGTTCTATTGCTTCCCTCTGAACTCTGTTCTGCCTCCGTTTTCCTCAAGTCTCCAGAATTGAGCACAAGAGCACGCATTGAGCTCCACCTGAGCTATTGCCAAGACTTTTCTTTCTCAGTTGTGTAATATTGAAAAATAAGAGATGTGCTTGACATGTGTTTCTCTCAGGATAACAGTGGATTGTAAATTGTGTGATCTCTATTGCTTTGGGGGGGCATTGCAAAATATGTCTTCGGGTACCATAAATCACTTCGGTGCCTCTAAATTCAGTGGCAGCTTTACACAAGAGTGCGCCCAAGCACTAGATTTGTGTATGTTCTTTGGGCTTTCACCTCCCTACAGCCATCATTTCACTTCTTCAGAAACTTCTTCATTAGTTCAGCATTAAAACAGGCACACTTTCATCTGCCATGTTCCAAAAACCTGCAGTTTTAATCATTCTTCTCAAATGACACGCATTCCATGCCAAAAGGAAGCATCCTTCCAAAGCACCTTCTTTTTGCAAAACCAACACAAACATGTCAAAGTTTGCTGTACACAGGAGGATAATCCTGTTCAGTGCCGGTAGGCCTGAAGCATGGAGAAGCCTCTTTTATCCTTACTGGAGAGCAAATCTGCACAAAGGTGCCCATTTGTAAGCACACTGGTAAGCTGGTGCTTAGTGCTGCCAACTGAAAGAGGCAGATGAGGTGACTACAGCAGAGTGGTACAAGCAGCCGTTGAAATCACTGAAGGGAGCAGTGTTTTCTCCCAGCCAGAAAGTCAGAAGCCTGCTCTTTCCGTCAGCTGACTAGACAGAAACTGGGAGTCGATCTGACCCCTGGATAGTCGTCTAGTATTGCCTTCATAATGGCAATGGGAATGGTCTTGGTATTACCAAATTCATTCCACTCCATCACCTGTGCACAGAGGAGGAAACAAAACAACTCTATAGTTGTCTTAGACAATATAAATAACCAGGAGAACCAGTGCATCAAAAAATGCATCAGAAGCTGTGAAACAGCAGAAGTGGAATAATATGGGAACAGGAACGTTGTACTATGAAAATGCAATTATTTTTTTTTTCCCCCTCTGGAAGTAAATAGAGTCTAGCTAGAAAATAAACTAATAATAATCAGGAAGAATAAGAGTTGGTGGAGCATGTGTGGCCAGGGAGTTGGAGCAGTGTTACCAAGCTATGTACATGATGGTGACTCATGGACTTCACGTTGCACTTGGTCTGGTCTTCACACTGCCTGGTAAGGAGCTTTCAGGAGATTGTATTTCATCACTTGGCAGCTATATTAATCTCTACCTTCACATACACATACATTTTATTTTAATATTCATATATGTATATAAATCTATAAAAGATGAGTGGTTGTGCATGTCTTTTTAACTCATTTGTATTGCAGTAGTGTCTTGTGTCATGAGTCTGCTTGTGCTGGAAGCAGACAAGTACATAACAGAAACAACCTCGAGTACTGGAGAACTTACAGTGTATGTGAGTAAATCATGGCAGAGTTGGGACCCACTTCAGTAAAAAAAAAAAAAAAAAACACCAAAAAAGAGAAAGAAGGAAAAACATAGTGGCAGTAGTGATTAATAATACCTTGGAGTTCTTTAGTGAGGCCCTGGCAACTCCAGATTATATGCAGATAACCACATTGCTCATTGTCCTTATATAGGGCAGCTTGCACTGTACAAGCACCATTTATTATAATTTAAATAGGAGTTGCCTTGATCTCACTGCCGAATTGAAAAGACCATTAGCAGTGCTGCTCACACTATCGAAGCACAAAGTATTTTAATATAAATAGCAGCTCCCTTGATCTCTCTGCTGAAAACAACATTGGTTCCCTCACTGATGAATTAACTATAAAGTAGGAAAATAAATAAATAAAAGTATTTCCCACATGAGCCGTCAATCTTCGTCACACACACATTTCGGATTCACATATCTGAAGTCAAACTGAAACCATTCTCTTGCCGATGCTATATCTCGCTTTACAACAGATTTGTTAGTAGTCTTGAATGTAACTTTGTCTTCCCTAAAACTGTCAAAATATTTACTTGTCAAATTACAAGGAACAAACATTTTTTTAAAGTGTTTTCAAGCCACACATAAGAATTCTTTGAATGCACTTTAAATAAGTGGCCTATGATAGAAGAATAAGTCTATTGCTTTCTAAAATCCCAAATCCTGCAGCTGATTTCTGGTGTTATTCTAAGGAAAATGGACCAGAACATCGTAATATGGAGGGAGTCCTAGGTGATAATAATGTAGCAGATGAAATTTCTGTGTAAGGCGTGTCTCCTTCTGAGTAGGAGGCTCACTAAAGGTCCTTCTGCCTGTTTCCACAGCTAGCTGCATTGCCAATGCCTTGCTAAGAGACTGTGGGCCTGAACCTCTGTAATGTCTTCCAAGAACATGGAATGTTTCTGTGTCACTGAAAGACCTCTTTCCTCTTTGTTGCCTGTTGGGTTGGGGGGGCAGCTGCAGGCACAGGGACTAGGAGGATGACTTGCCCTCTGGAGGTGGCTGTGTTTCTCTTGGTGATTGAGGGCTCCTCAACGTTTATCTTAGACTTTCTGCTGAACTTCTAAATGCCAGAAGTTAGATGGCATGGCTCCTAAATGTTTGAAATTCAGCGTGCTCTATTCTCTCAGTGTCTTTTTAAGCCTTCCCTCCTAAATACTCAAAGCTGTCATGTAAGCGCACAAAGTGAGTTTACACACGTAAGGCTCAATCAGTAGTAGCTGGAAGGCTATTTCCACCCTCTTATCTACAACAGGTGACTTTTTAAAAGGCTCTCATTTGCACACAGACCTCTGTAATTTGCCTGAGCATTAAAATCCTCCCCGGTCTTTTTTGGGGGCAACATTTGATTTCTCCAAAAAGGTGACAGAAAAGATTGTATGAGCACAATCAGCTTGAATAGTGAATTGGAATTCATGAGCATCCTTGAGGATTCATACACCCTGCTATTTGCCCACCTCTAGATCTGTGTTACCTCTTAATTGTCAGAACAAATACTTAAAATCTATCATATGAGAACTTGTTTGACCTCAGAATGATTTCTGATAAATCATTCTGTGAGATGTAGAGAGTTGTCCAGAGGGAACAAAATGTAGTAAATTATTTGATATTTTCAGGCATCTGTGTTTACTCTCTGCAGCACTGACAACAGGATTAAACTGAATACTCAACAAGCATGTAGGGTTTTTTATTATATGATGGCTATTTAATTTTATTGTATTTTCCTGGCTTCTGCAGTCTTGTGCCACACAAAAGCTCTTCTGATTCTTTTACTGAATTGAGCTGTTACCTTGTGCTCAGTGTTTTAAGTGGCCTTAAATAATGTTTCCCTTGACAATTCATTTTCAAACTTAAAAGATATAAAAGAATTCATTTTCAGTGCCTCTCAAAAGCCCAGTGCACATGTAGAAAGGTTCCAAGGCTGTGTTCCCCAAAAGACACTATTTCTCAGCCCCCTCAAAGCTCAACAAATGTCGTCAAACATTTAAATGCTAACAGTTACAGGTTTTAGAAACATCGGTGTCTGTGTAAAACAGCATTGCAAATCGGTCCTAAAAAGTCAAGATGTCACGTTTTATGCAAAGGCACTCCCCTAATTTTTGCTTATCAACTTAGCTGAGCTAAATGAGTTACTAAGGGGTTTTTTTAGTGGAGTTTTGGAATGTATCAAAAGTAGTTTCACTCTTCCAAAGACTTTCTTGAAAGAAATTGCTCTGCCAAGGTGGCAGAGTCGGCATACATGCAAACACCTTTTGTTGCACAGACACGGGGAGGACGGTGCTGCTTCGGCAGCAGTGCTGGCGCATTGATACACGCTGTTTTCAAGCACAAGATCACCGAGTGAGCTCGTGGTATATAGGCAGAGCAAGGCAAAGTGCAAACGTACCATTTACTGAAGCCATTCAATTAAAGAAAAGTCCCTACAAAGAAAATGGTTTTAGAGCATGTCATGAAAAAATACTTGCCTTTTACTTTAAAAAGAAAAAAGACTGTTTAAGGGGGATGATTGTAGAGCATGTACCACTTCTAACAGATTTGCTGTGCAGAAGTACATAAGTGTGAGTGATGTAGAGGTACTTGTTTATTATAGAGCACATTTCAATGCAGTAATCATAAATATTGCTAAGGTTGTGCTCTGTTGAAATATGACCTACATACTCTTGATTGTTTGTGTTACGTGATTTGTCTGACACCCATTACATTCTGGGTAATGGCAGCCATTTGTTGCTGTGCACAGCAGGCTCTTTTGACAAAAGAAAATAGGCAGCAATAAAAAAGCTATAGTCTGAATTACATTCTGCACAGCGCTGCACTGCTGAGAGTTTGTGCAAGTGTGTTAACAATGCTCTGAACTGCCTCTTGTCAGCCTTCAGCCCGTAATGGCCATCTGTCCTTCCATAAATCTGTCAAAACCTGCTAAGTTCAAGAGAGAGCGCAGAATATACCTTGTACTGTCAACGCTAAAATGTACACATTGGCGGAGAAATCGGCGCGTATGAACTAATCCAACGGTTGTAGAATATTGTAACGCTGTTGATGTGGGATCGTGGCCCTCGGTGAAGATTACCAGGGATTAGCGTGAAGATGAGCAAGTGTGTGGCCAGCTGGTTTTCTCAAAGTTCATGGACACTAGTCATGGGACACGCTGAAGGTGGACTCTGTAGTGGTGACATGAATTCAAAACTTCACTCCCCCCTCCATCCCCTGATGGAGGATTATTCAAAAGTTAAATGAACATTTTCCAACTTTCGTCTGTTTCTACTTGCCTGTGCACTTCCTGCTTCTGCTGAAAACCAGGAAAAAAGCCAAAATACCACGAGGAAGCCCTTTCTTAGGATGTCCCCAGCACAGTTCTGCCAGCAAGAGAAGTGCCAGTAAATTTAGCTCAGTCTGTACTTTTGCAAGGGATTTTTGGTGGGGGTTTTCTTTTGCCCTCCTCTAAAGATTGTTGGACTCCTTGTTAGTCTTCTGGAAATCGTTGTGCTCTGCGTTTAGCTTACTTCCTGCCAGGGCTAACTTTAAAGAAGCTGAAATGGAAACAATATTTTATTTTGAGTATTGGATTATGTCTGGGGTTTCTTTGCCTGAAATTCTTAAATATGCATGTTCATTGTGGAGTGATTGTTGGAAGTAACAAGATGGGGCTGGAATTAATATTCTCCTGCTTTACTCTTTCTTTAAAACCACATCCAAAAATTCAGCAACTAATACCAGAGCTTCTCAAGGGCTATATAATTTCATGAGTAAGAGTGATGCATCTAAATTTTTTATTTAGAAACAGTCATTGCTTATTCAAATCTTTGTTGAATTGGAGTCTGAATTTTTAATCCAGAAATGATTACTGCTGACTTTTGAAGAGGAGCGTTCTCTTCATTTTACCAAAAATTCATTTGGTAGTCAAAAATATTTGTTAGTGAGCAGGTGGATAAGGTGTGAAATATGTTCTGCTCAATTCACTCAAGTGAATTTTTGGGAAAGAAGAAAAAATTGAGGACTCAAATTAGAGGAAATAGTTTAACAGTGATGACTTTACACAAAACTTTTTTATTTTTAAAATCAAATTTGGGGTGAGGAGTTTTAGGTGTTGGCATCTTTGCCTCAGTTTCCTCAACTTTGGTGATATTAGACGAAGTCTTCACATAGCCATGAGTAGCTCATAACCATTTTTTCCAAACAATGGTTCAGGCAAAATCAAGCCTCACTCTCACAATCAGGTATTGATGCCCTGGTACTCCTATCTTTCTTTTTTTATGGAACAAATTCATTGCAGCTAATGTGATGGGACTCCCAGTCTCCATTTATGCTCCTTAGGGAGCACTATGCATTGATGGACACTTTTCCTTTTTTACAGCAAAACACCATAAAACATGTTCCATTTGCACTGATCTGCTGAGCTCTGTTGCATGGTCAAAAATACAAAACAAAACTCTATAGTGATGTTTGAAATACACAATTCCTGTAAGTGTGCCTGCGCTCTCTTCTCTCTTGTGAAAGAAGTAATGGAAAGCTCATTGATTGGGCTAGAAGAAATCTTGGACAGCATCGACCTCTGGAGTGCTTAAGGATGGTCTGGATTATCTAGGAGAACTCCTTAATCTTGGTCTAATGCAGGACAATACTTATGTATTTGTTTAATTTTAAGCGTATATACTTCTAAATTACATTGAGGTCAATCAGACAGAAGCAAATTTTTAAAACGTAACATACTAACTACCTTTCTGAAGAGTAAATATTTCCTGAACAGTGGCCACAGTTTGCTGTTGCTCTGCACTGGTGTCCTGCGTTATCCTTTTATAAAGTCTGAAGAAATTCTATGATTTCTGCAGGAAACGTTGGCAGTTATATTCTACCCTTAAAAAAGGAATTGGAAGATGCTGCTTTGGTTCCCAGATTTTACTAGAATTGTCTGTAGGCCTTCCTGCAATTTTGTCTCACTGTAGCTATATAGCCTATTACAGTTATGCGAAAAGTCTTGGTATTTAGTGGTATCTTTAGTCTTTGAATACTTATCTGCTTCGTTTTGACTCACTAGTTCATGGCACTCACTAATATTTAGTTCTAAGTGCAATGGTTCATTACAGTTGCAGTTGTCCTATTGTTCACTTGGGTTTCAGTTGCAGAACCACTTTTCAGGCAAAATGTGTTAGTTATGCTTACAAGAATGTATTATACGTACATTAGCGATGGTTTACTAAGTTAATGAACTGTGAAGACAAAGACTCATTGTAGTTGAGTTGTCGAGTTGCTGTACTTCCTTGCATTCAAGTTCTGCGTCCTACCCAGCCCAGGTTCCTTTGGTAGCACTCATTTATTTTTCTTGGGCTTGCTTTTATTCAGGTTTTTGTCTGCTAATTTCTTTAGGTTTTTGACAGTGCCAGCCTTTTGACTTTTGATTTTTATAGCAAAATCTTTTTTGATTTTTAACAAAAGAGTCTTTTGGTTTTTACCTCTTGATCTTTTCTATCCAAATCTAGAGAGAGAGAGGCGGATGTCATGGAGGAAGGGGAGGGCCAGAAATGATGCTGAAGATGAATGGCAATGCATTAGTACTGTTCCTATTGTCGTTACCAGACCTTTGGTGTCTCACACCCTAAATATTCTTATTCTTAGTATTAGTAGTGTTAAATTAAAGTGACATAGATTGGGTCTTGCTTTGTATCTATTTTAAAGAAGCACATGAGCCGACTTTCTAAACGTTGTATATGTGCTTAAAAGTATTCTGTTCCTCCTTTTTTTTTGCCCTCAGGCCTAACTCCACCTACGACCCCTCCTCATAAAGCCAACCAGGATAATCCTTTTAGGACTTCACCTAAGCCGAAGTCATCATGCAAGACTGTTGTACCACCTTCAAAAAAGCCCCGCTATAGTGAGTCTTCCGGTTCTCCAGGAAATAACCCGATCAAGAAGGGTCCAGAACAGTCTGAGCTGTATGCACAGCTTAGCAAGACTACAGTACTGTCCAGTGGACATGAGGAGAGAAAGACAAAACGGCCCAGTTTGCGGCTGTTTGGTGACCATGACTACTGTCAATCTGTGAATTCAAAATCGGAAATACACATTAAAATATCCCAGGAACTTCAGGACTCCAGACAACTAGAATTTAAGGATTCTTCACCTGGGTGGCAGTGTCAGATTTGTTCTTCTTTAGAACAAGACCAGTATTTCAAGAAAGAGACTTTACAGACAAGTAAGCAGGGATCCCACGGTAATCATAGAAAACAGCTCCAAGACCAGGAAATTCGGGCTGAACTGAATAAGCATTTTGGTCACCCCAGCCAAGCTGTTTTTGATGAAGCAGATAAGACCAGAGAACTAAGGGACAGTGATTACAGTAATGAACAATTCTCCAAACTACCTATGTTTATAAATTCAGGACTAGCAATGGATGGTCTCTTTGACGACAGTGAAGATGAAAGTGATAAACTATGCTACCCTTGGGATGGGACACAAGCCTATTCATTATTTGATGTATCGCCTTCTTGCTCTTCTTTTAACTCTCCATGTAGAGATTCAGTGTCTCCACCCAAATCTTTATTTTCTCAAAGATCCCAAAGGACACGCTCTAGATCAAGGTCCTTTCCTCAACGCAGGTCTTGTTCCCGTTCTCCATATTCCCGATCGAGATCAAGGTCGCCCTGTAGTAGATCCTCTTCAAGGTACAGTACAGCAAATTCATGTGTCATCATCATAGTTAATAAGAAGGAAAACAGCAAAAACATAAAGCAACTTAAAGGAAAGAAAGAAAAAAAAAAAAAGAAATAATCGGGTGCAGCTCATTCCATTGCTCCCCAGCTGACTAAGTTTGAAGGTTACGGGGTTGCTACAGAAACACTTGTTGCCATTACCCTTTAAATTTGCCAAGTTTATGCTTTCTGAATGGAGCCAGGCAGAGCAATTGGTGAGAGATGTACACAACTAACCTTTCCCATTATCTGCGAGCTGCCTGGTGCCAATCTAGCTGCAGTCCCTATCAGATGAAGTTGACAGTGGCTGACTCTCTGCTCTGTGTTAGCCTCAATAAGGAACATTACAGAAGGGGGGCAGGGGAAATCACTTGAGGCCCCTTTAGTTGACTCGGAGATCACAAACTGTCACTGGAAAATCTCACTGGTAGCTTAGAAGAAATTGTAAGTTCAGGAAAGAGGTAGAAAATGATGTCAGTAGATTCAAACTGAATGACAGAGGTGAATGTGTTTCTTCCTGCAGATCTTGTTGCTATTATGAGTCCAGCCACTGTAGACACCGAGCATACAGAAGTTCTCCCTTACGTGCAAGATCGCGATCCAGATCACCGTACAGTCGCAGACCCAGGTAGTGCATTTTGTGTGCGTTTGGTTTGCTTTGCAGCGGGTTCTCAAGAGATAATGAAGCTTTCCAGAAACTGTTTTACTAATTTTACATTCACAAATGCAGGTGCTTGATTTAATGACTAAGTTATGTTTCCTAGATATGACAGCTATGAGGAATATCAGCATGAAAGGCTGAAGAGGGAAGAATACCGCAAAGAGTATGAAAAACGGGAATCTGAAAGGGCCAAACAAAGGGAGAGACAGAGGCAGAAAGCAATTGTAAGCACTGTGAAGATATCTTTCATTTTGAAATAGATTTCTGTTTCTTTTCATAGATTTCTAAAGCTAGAACTCAGCCTTTATTTTCTTCCATTTTTATAAAAGAAAAAACAAAATTTGCTTATGTGTATTTCTTAGTATTTTGAATTTTAGGCAAATATGCGTTTTCATAACAATTTATGTTTTAATGCTACAATACTAATGCTTTCAGGTTCTGTAAACTGCAACTCTCCAAGTTTTTCACAGTCAACAGATACAAAGAGCTTACTAGAAAAAGGTTTAATCCTGGACAACAGACAATTAAGAGCAAACCAGTCTATTTCTTATACAGATCTATCAATGAGCCTGTGTTTTATACTATATATCACCTACCAGAATGTCGGTAATCAAAGTCGGTTTTCTGTATGTCTGGTTTTTCATATAAGCAATATAAGGAGTCAGCTTACATACCAATCACTGGACTTTCTTAGTAACTGTCTATACAGAGGGTGCAGATAACAGAATTCAAAACTGGGATCCAAAAGCATGTGTTTAATTTACCTTTTTCCTGTCAATGACTCGGTTAATTTTTAAGTTATTTTAGCAAAATAAATAGTCTGAAGACATGATGCAATTTAAAAATGTCACTTAACACTGGCCCCTTCATAATGAATATGTATTATTTAATTATTTTTTTTAATCAATGTTCTGTGTGAAACAACTGTAATACCTGAGGCAAAGGAAATACTCATGTGGGGGTGAGCAACTCTCTTGACTGCTGTAGCAATAGGACAGAAGAATGACTGTTAAAAAGACAAGTGGCTTTTGCCCCTATTTAATTCTCCATTGGCAACTGCAAGATGGTTTTGATAAATTAAATTGGGAGCTGCTGTAAATCTGGACTACTCTTGTAGTTGTTAAGCCCATTTGGTGGCTTGCCTTAACTTTTTGTGGTTGGATTTCTGTGTCCTGCTCCTTCTGTTCTGTTGTACTTTTACCACTGTTCTGGCTGTGCTCGGGCTCTTGCATGAACCAATGCAGACAGAGACACTTCCTCTGTGTTTCTAGATTTTCCCTTAGTGCTCTGTCCAAGGCTCACCGAAATGAACAGGTCTTTTTTCCAGTGCCTTTAATGGACTTTGTAGTAAAAGGTGATTTGTCACACACTCAGCAGCATTCCTCGTAATACTTACACCTACAGAACTGGGAGAGCGTAGAGATTGGCAGAGACTGGTCGAGTCTGTGGCAACAAGAAGTTCTGGGAGGGAACAGACACCTTTATTTTCTGATTTTTGTCTGCCATTGTTGTTCTTCGTGAGCTTCATCAAATCGTTTCAGTTTTCTCTGCTTCGGGTGCCCTGTCTACAAAGTGTGGTGTATTTTGTCAAGCATGAGATTTAGAACCGTAACATGCTCTGCTGTGCTGATCTGCAACTCAGTGAAGGCAATGGAATGATTTTGTTTGGCTTCAGACAGAGCTATATTTAAGTCAATTGTTGCAGTTAGTTTTTAAATATCTGGTTTCCATCTGCTTAGGGATGAACACTACCTGCTAGCAATCATAACTTACACTGGCTGTTCTCTCTTGGATCTAACACAAATTAGAGATTCAAGTAGACCTCTGTCATGAGTGTATCTTGCTACTTCTCAATTACAGTACCTTACTGGTATAAACAAACCTGAATTCTCCTGAGGAGGTAGAAAATTTGATTTAGTTTAAGACAAACAAATATTTGGCAACTAGCTAATCAAGAGAAGAGGGAAAAGGAAAAAAAGGAAACTGAAAAAGCTCCAGATATGCTGCATCCTAACTCCCTATGTTAAGAATTTTAGACTTTTCAAAACCAAAGTTGGATTTATTTTCTTTCTAAAGTGACCATTGTTTTGGTAATTAACTTCATTAATCAAATTATTTATTAATAAACACAAATAAATAGCAACTAAAAAAATAAGTATCAATAAATAAAACATTGCAAAAATTTAAAATCCAGTCACTTGTGTAAGAGCTGTAGGAGATGTAGATGAAATCACACTCCAAAGGAGATGAACTCCTTTCTCCAAAGTCTATCGGCACATTTACTTTAAAAATCTGTATTGAATCATGCCAGTTTATTCTCTGCATGGCTAAGTAGGAATTAGGGGACAGCAGAGAAAGGGAAGCCCTGATCCTATAAAGTCAGTGATAAAATTTGTATTATTTCTAGCATTCTCTGCTCCTTTTCTTACTCCTTTTGGCTTATAGGTCTCTTGTGTGTCACTGTCTGCTTTCTTAAGGGACTCAACTCAACTCATTTATTGTTCAGCCACAAGAATCTCCTCTCTCTTTCCTTGAACTGTTTCTACAGTCCCATAAATTTAGATTTCTTTGGTCTCCGTGTTGGGGAATTCTTTATTTTCTTTCTAGCCCATTCTCGTGCTGCAAGAATTGATTCACGGATACCTCCAGGTACTGTTAAAAGAGTGGCGCAGAATTGGGCAGTACTAATTCCTCCAGTGTTACGCAGGGTAGGTGGTTTTTTTTTCATGAGAAACACCATGCTAAGGTCTCAAGAGTTAGTTGTAGAAAGGATGCACAGTGGAAATGGAACAGAAATTATAACTGAGCTAAAATCCATCAAGTATTATTGGTTCAATATCTCGAATTAGCCTTCATGTGACAAGAAGAGTGGGAAACCTAGGAAAAAGAAATGAGAACAAATTTCACATATTTTAATCTGTCAAAACCATATGTGCAGCAATGCCTTCTGATTGTGCAGGCAGCTTGTATTTTGGCAGACGTGAAGGCATATTGGCAGAATGCTGAGGAGGCTTGTTTTAGAAGCCTGTGCTCATGCTATGTGACAGAGGCATGTTTAAGTGGCTGTCCCTTCAGTCTTGCACACACCACCTTCACTGCAGTAGCTTCAGATCAGCTAGAAGCCTGGGCGGGCATTTCTCTGTATGGATTCCTGAATTCCTATCTAGACTTACGGCTATATACAGGTGGTTTGACTTCAAAAGGTGTTGTGATATTCTTCTCCTCTTCCTTTTCTTCCTTTCCTCTATCCAGTTTCTGGAGATTCAGTGCCTTTTTTGTGTATTGGAGTCTTAATTTTGAGCAGTCACGCTTGAAAAATGTGTGCTGAGCCCACAAGGTATTTTCCAGTTAGAGAGTAAGAAAAATAGTTTTGTCATTCATTCATTCATTTATTTATACTTTCGATTGTGATGCTTTGCTAACTGAGCAAATATTAGCATCATTTAGTTCGATCTTGACTTGATTTATTTCACTGGGTCCCCATTTTGTTTTAGAATGGGTCCTCATTGAACATAAGGATGGTCTGCCCCCGAGACTTAACTTCATAATACTAATGAGATCATCGTGGAGACACATTCATCATGAAGCTTGAGGAGTAACTGCAGGACAGGACAGGCTACTCAGGGCTTTGTAGAAACTGGGATCCAGCCCTCAACCGAGGCAGATCACCGTGATTTGCCAAGAAGACTAAGGACCCCTTTTTTCTTCTGATACACCCCAGGAAATTTCTGAGTTGCACAGGCTTTTACTCCAGCAGCTCATGAGACCATGTGGCAAATACTTTCCAAGGCACAACGTCAGAAATACAGTTGGCACATTTCAGTTCTGGAGTCATCAGTTCGTGGCTCCCCATTGACGTGGTGCACCAGGGCTGGGAGGTTAAACTGTCTTATTAGCAGCCAGGTGTTCTGGATCTCTGCTGCTCTGGCCACAATACTGACTTATGGTCACATCCTCCCTGCAGCTCATTTACTGTGTGTGCTGGCTGCTGCTGGGAGGTATAACAAAATCATCTTTTATACCTAAGTAGAAAAATACTATTAACATTACTACTTTTCATTTCTAAGTGCTGACACCCTCCATGAGGCAAGTATCAAGAGTCCCTGTCCCAGAGAGCTTACAAACATAAGAAGATAAATGTGCTGTGAGGCCATTGCAGCGGAAAGAAACACATGGTTTCAAAGGAAATAAATTGCTCTACAACAGGAAGGCAGGAGAAAGGTGGTTTCATAAATGAGTGCTTGGCTTCTCTAATGTCTAAAACCAGAGTCAGCCTATAATGGAGTGCATTTCCACTAATGAAGGATCCAACGTACATTGTATATTTAGTTTGGATTTTTTTGTCGTTGCTCATCTTGATAGCCTTGATCCCAGCCTTTTGCTGTATGAGCTGCTGAAAATGTATCAAATGGATTACCTAAATCTTGAAGTTTACTGGTCCATCATTATTTTTCTAGCAGTCACCATGGAGTGTGGCTGAACTGTTTCAGTCCTCAGTTACCCACACAGCAGCACTTGACAATTTTGTGCAATGTTCTTTCTTTTCCAGTTCATACTTCCAGTTCATTACTTCTTTTACAGGTCATACTTAGTCCACAGATCTTCTTTAATACAGAATCTAAAGAAAATTTTTCTTATTACATCAGAATGTCAAGCTTTAATGTCTTTTTTCATCCATAGCATTTCTATTTTTTAAACTCTGTCTAACCATTCCCATTGTACTTTCAAAATGATATTTGGCCTCCAACTCTAAGGATAAAAGTCTTCATGGCTTTCTACTGGAAGAGGAGAGAAGTCACTTGGCATGGAAGGCAACACAGACACAGGGCTTGCACCCAGCCAGGCACTTGTGCTGGAGGAAGCAGCAGAGCCTTTGGCAAGCCAATGGCAGACCCCAGCTTTAACACGCTCCTAGATTTCTTCTCTCAGCCTTCACATAGAGCATTATCTGGCTCTTGGAGGACTAGGTATGGGCTACAGGTGTGCAGACAAAGCAGTAGGGAAGACGGGGACAGCAGCACTGTGTGATGTTACCTCCGGAGAGACTGCCTGTAGTTCCTGCAGAGCCTGCGGAGCAGCTGCACGGGCCGGCAAAGAAAACAATGTTGGGTGAAGAAGCCTAGTGAGAATATGCATATGAAAACTAATACGTCTAGTGGTCTTTGCTTTAGTTCCATATGAAATAAAGAATTAAGAATGAGGAAGGGAAAGCAGAATAAAGATTTGGGGAAAGCCTTTGCAGGACAAAAAGATCCTTAGCATCAGTGAATGTTTTGCAGGATGAATGGTCTCTTTATTGTCCCTTAGATGTCTAAGGTATGTCCTGGTCCTATTTTCTCAAGTTTTGGCATGCTAATGCTTTAACGTTTTAATTTGAGACTTGAAATACTCCTTTTCACTCTGAGATTTTATGCCACATCTGCAGATGTAAAAATATCAAATGTTTTTACTGCAAGAAAGAAAAAGCAAGATTGTGAAGAAGGAGCTTTGAATAAACTGAAAGACAACAGACATGTTGAGCCTGGGGAAATTGGCTGGACTCTTCTTTTTTCCCTTTACTTACCATTGCAAAGCAATGATCGATGCTTAAAGCTTATCATGCGAAATAAATAATTTGCACTTTTGAGAAGGTAATATGAAGAGTATCTTTTGGGGTTTCCTGCAAGTTCCCTCTGCCCACTTTAAATTCAAAACAAAAGCTTTTCCCTGCAGTTCCCTAGGTTCCCAAGTCATATATCATCTCCTCTAACAAGTGCAGTAAAAAGCATACTTAATATGCACATATAGACTTATGCATGTAACTTATTGTAAAATAAAGGTCTTTAACATTTAGAGGTATGTTGTAATCTTGTTAGGCTTGTATAGCTCTTGTTATTAATGGGAATAAAAGGCAGATGCCCCTGTGAATACGAATAAATTTCTTCATAGTTGCTTTAAGTAAACCAAACTTAACCAAGACAAAGACAATGCTGTATGAATCCTATGTTCTCCAGTGTCTTATACCATCATGGCACTCTGCTTAAAAAAAAAACTTGAAAGAACATCTCCTCATGTGTGCACACTGGAGGACATATGGTGCATTTCAGCTTTAGATTTGAATTTCCTTAATTTTGCAGGTTTAACTTATTCCCTTAATGATAGTTTAACAGGCTTTTTTTTAATTGTTCAGTTTTGTTTTATTACAGTTCTGTTAAAGAGATATTAGAGATACAAAGGTTATTAGAGGGATAGAAGAAGGGAAAA